CCATCGTTATCAGGTTGGAGGCCACCGCTATTAGGTTGGAGGCCATCGCTACTGGGTTGGAGGCCATCGCTATTAGGCTAAAGGCCATCGCTGTTAGGTTGGAGGCCATCGCTATTTTTCTGGGTCTGACGCCATCGCTTTAAATATAGGTTGGAGGCCATCGATATATTTTAGTTTGGAGGCCATCGCTGTATAGGTTGGAGGCCAGTGCTATTTGGGTCTGAGGCCATCGCTATCACTTTAGGCCTGAGGCCATCGCTTTTAATATATGTTGGAGGCCGGCCATCGTTATCATTATAGGTTGGAGGCCATCGCTATTCTTTTACATGTTTCTACTGCGTGTTGCCCATGCTCACCACTGCTATGAATATAATACAATTTGTGTAGTGGTTGGTATGCTTGTCACTTGTCAAGCGAGAGGGATTCTGGCTGGGACTGACGGAGTGGCAGCGGAATTTTACGACATCTCCAAAGTGCCGTATATATGTATACCAGCATGAGTTGAATCCAACGTTTTGTCCAATCAACATGTGAAGAACAATGTTATTTTTTTAGATTCAATCCAGACCCACAGAGTAGCCAAGCTGTATGTGCTGCTTGCGCGTTGCTCAGACTAGCGAGCAGCAAGGTATCTCTAGAGAACAGAGTACGGATTTCCGGAAGTATGCGGACAGCGACCACCAGCGGGCGCACCAAGACAGAAGTAGGTTATATACCAGGTCAGCGACCGCCCCCCGCAAAGCGGGATACCCTCCAGAAACACAGTTTCAACTTCTGATTGTACTGTCTGCATTTGTTTGCCATTTGCTCGAACTGTCCTTGGCAATCATGATTGACAGCCTCTCAAGAAACTGCCGCGCTCACACTCCAACCCAACGGCCCACACTGGATAAACGGTACCCAGCAACAGTATTGGCCAACTGGCCTGCCTTCCTTTTCTTGACAGTCGACCAAAGCCACCAACAACTGAGCCGGCCATGCTCCACCATCTTCGACGATGCAAGAAGAAGACTTCAACCAAGCATCGCCTCGCGGCATCAGATCAGCTTGACTAAGACCTTCAGGTTTGCAAGACCCCCGGAGATCAGGTTCGGGCGCTTCAGGTATCATCAGCAAATGCCGCGGTTCGTCGCCTTTTTGACATTTCGACATCGCTGTGTTTGCACCATCGCTTTCCCCACAACTGTTCCAGAACAATGTTCCAATCTTGAGTGGTCAGCCACTAGTGTCCTAGCCTCAAGGCTCTGCCGACACACACAAAAGCAGATCGCTCTCAATTGAAGTCTCATACCAGCGACTGCCACATTCTATGATTCAGGTACATTCACCATGTTTTGTCCGTCAATTACTGTGATCGGTTGGATACAGCAATCAACAATGGTCTCAAGATGAAAAGTCAACGACAGGAAGGACAACTTCGGGATGAGCGCATAGATTTCGAGACAGGCGTGCAGCAAGGTCGAATATCGACTTTTGGTGAGAAAAGTGCACTGCGCATGATGCCTCGCCACATCACAAATCATCACGTTGCAGTCAGCCACAGCACCATTATACTTCACTTCACCACATTACAAATCATCACACTGTCACTACACCACACCACGCACTTCACGAGAGCACAGACTTCCATGCACACGCTTCACGACATCACCAACTACACACGAGACTTCACCATATCACAGGTGATATAATTCACACCTCGCAGCCCCTCCCTTTGTCATGTGTTAGTTAGTTTTTGCCAGTGTTTTTTTTTCCCAGGCTATTTTGGTTGCTTGGGTCGGAATTCTTTTAAGGGGACGGCTCTTTTGCAGAGTGAATGTCAATAAAAGAGGCTAACACGTAGTTGAATCTTGAGGGTTGGGGCCAATCGCGCAGGATGATGCTCTTGACGAGTGCGATGATGGCCGAATTGTGTTTTGGGAAGCGCAATGCGATGCTCGGTGTGTAGCTTGTGAAATGTGTTCCCGATGGTACATACGACAGACTGAGCAAGGACGCTCATGCTATTTGCGTTCTGCCAAGGCTGGATATAGCAAGATCGAAGGAGCAACTGTAGGGCTAGGCAAAACATGCGTTCACAAAGACAAGCTCCTTTGGGATACTCAGGGATTGAATCTAAGATGCATTGGTGATATGTTCCAGAATGGAATGCAATCAGAGCATGCCTGCAAAACTTTTTGTGCCCATGACGCGCAATGTGATGTTTATCAGATGGACCCTTTTGGGTCCTGCTGGACTGGCCAATCCCGCAACTGCTTCGGAGAGGCAGGATGGACTGGCGGTCGGAAGAAGCCCTCGGGTGGAGATGAAATGAAAACCATGTGTGATAACTTTAACAAGGCATCAGATTTGCAGCAATCGGGCAGCGTTGAACTTGAGCCAGCGCTTCAGTCAGCTGTTGATATGTCCCAAAGCACATGTTTCCAGTCAGCGTGTGGCTTAGCCAATGCAGACACAGATTGTGGGTACGAAGCGCAAGATCGGATGAAGCGGCAGCTCGTAGAGCATTGCGAGAGCATCCCGATGTGGAAGTTTACAAATTGGAGTCGCTGCTACGCATCGCATTCTAGCAGCTGTGGGGACACAGGTTTTCGCAAACGCACTGTGACCTGTTCTCATCAAGAGACTGAGAGGTGCCGGGCACTGGCGGATGAACCAGCCAACACAAAGCCTTGCACTGTGTTAGGAAGCTGTGAATGGGTCCGCTCGGATTGGAGTGCTTGCCATGGAGCATCAACTTGCTCAGATATTGGTATCCAAACGAGGACTGTCAGTTGCAATGGCCCAGAATCAGCTTGTTTCGAAAGGGGTCTTCAACGCCCTCGCACCCAGCGGCCGTGCTCAGCCCCAGGGTGCGACGACGTGCTCGGCACTGGCATAGATGATCGGTGCACAGAGGCGCGCCGTTTGCGTGCCTTGTGGTCCAATATCTCCACAAATAGCGAGGAAAGCGAACTATGGGCTCCTGCCGTGCCCCAGCAAGTCCAGCATGGTCGCAGCTTGGCAGAGGATCAAATTGTTGCCTTATCAGTGCAGGAATGCGCAACATTGAGTGCCACGGCTGGATACTGTGCCATGGTGACTATGAGTGACGCCGGACTCGCTGGCTTTGATTTTCAGATGAGCGCTTGCATGAGCAAGCAGCTTGATGAGATTCTGGAAGAGGTGGGGCTAATTGACAGCAAGATCGATACGCTGAAGACCACTGTGGCGGATGGCTTCAAGGATTTGAACGACAGAATTGACAAGCAAACAGAGGAATTGACGGGAGCTATGCAGCAAATAGCCAAGGAATCTGTCGATGAGCTTCAAGCGCACGGACATGCCGTAGCCCATCACATAGTCGCTGAGTTAGAAAAGAAACGGAAGGATTCTCGAGCCTACTTGCGCTGCACAGCCAATGCAAACCGGAAAGCCGTGCTGAGTCATATTGATCAAGTGACAGGTCAGCTCACTGGTCAGATATCTCTCATTCAGGCAGACCTTCGGGAAGGTTTCCAGAACCTCACTCTGAACTTGAAGCTTATGGAGGGGCGCTTGCAAGATCGTTTGAGTGATGCGGCGAATAGTGTGATTGAGGAGCTGAGTGATGCCGTGCAAGAGTCCGAAAGAAAAAGGGAGCAGTTCATATTCCAGGGCTTATCCAAGGCAGTTGAAAGCATAACTGGAAGGATCAAGGTGCAGACAGATGATGTTGGCAGCATTGTGCGATCAGAAGTATCAGCCATGGTGGCTGATGTCCAGACTGCCCTGAGCGACACAGGCAACTTGTTTGCGTCAAAGGCGGAGGACATTTCCGACAGTCTCATCGACCTTCTGCAGACTCAGACTCGTGATGATGTTAGAAGCATTCAGGACATGGTGTTGAGATTATCCAAAACACTGTCAGGTGAGCTCCAAACGCAATCAGAGACTGTAGAGGCGCAAGCTGTAGTCCGGTCTAAACGATTGGAGCAGTTGCTTGCTGCCACCATTGAAACTGCTTCATCCGAAAAGAAAGCCATACTAGAAGACCTGAAATCCGAAGTCGTGAAAGGAAGGGAGGCAGCAGTCTCTACTGTTGAGGAGGCGTTAAATGAGCTCCGGGGTGAGGTGGTGCAAACCTTGGCTGTTCCCATGGAGACCTTGTTGCAAGGGACAGATCGTATTGCTCTGGAACTCGATGAGGGTTTGCAGCAGCTGCCAGCAGCATGAGTAGTGTGTCAACGGAGATTTCTGAAAACCAGAAAACCTTAGAAGCCCTGGCATCAAGCAATGCGAAGCTGGTGGAAGAAATGGAAAGTGCAAATCAGGCTGTTGCTGCTGTGCATGCCGATGTCCTCCAGTTGAACCAAGAGGTGTTGGCAGGACAGCAGCGACTAGCTGAGTCGATTGCAGCTTTGAACATGAACCTCGACTCATCGTTGAGCCTGGCAGAGGATGTGCTGCGACAGGGCAAAGATTTTCATTTGAAGGAGGTTGCGCACGAATTCAAAGCATCTTCGCTCCTGATAGATGGAGCCTTTTTGGACTTCAATCAGCACTGGCTTCCCAATGCAACAGCGCAGGCGCGACAGTTGTTGCAGTCATTTACAGACTATGTAGTGTGCAGGTCCGGGTCTGACGCATTTGCTGAGTCCTTCGACCAGGGTCACGCCTCAAAGGTTGGTGTGCTGAGTGAGCTGAAAAGTCATTGGCGAATCATTCGAGACCACTTCGCCATCCTGTCGAGCATTCTCGTGGATGGACAGCTGTTGCGAAATCAGTTTGACACTACTGCGGTGGCCGTAAGACAAGAGGAAGTCCTTAGCATCAAGAACAGAATGGCAAGTGAGTGGTCAAGTCCAAATGCGTGTGGTGGGATGCTTGGTCCTGAAGCTGCAAAGGAGATTCGGTCCCTTCTTTTGCAGAAAATGCAGCAACAACCTCTGACCCTTGCCCGTCGCGTTAGCTCCGTTTGGAAACAGGTCTCCAACATGGTGCGAGAACAAAGAAGCATGGGAAGTGCAGTTAGTGCGGCAGATCTCGAGTATGTGCGGAAGGCATATGTGGCTGTGCTAAATGATCTCATGCATGTGCGCGACCAGATATTAGGTGCCAACAGCGTTCTCCAACAGTTTCACACTGAAGTCCTGGATATGCATTTGCCTTTCTTATGTCCTCCCCCCTCCAAGTTGCACAGCTCAGATTCTGACTCGGTACAGAGAGTCACGTACAAATGAGCTGGTGGTTTGGCGGGAGATAGATGATGCAGTGGTGGTGATTCGACGCCCCTCTGAATTCCTGCGGTTACAAGGTGTTTTTGCATGGGATGTGAATCTGGCAGACGAGTCATCTTTGCCTATGCAGCTTCCCCCAGAGTTTGTTGAGTCTGTGTACCTTTGCCAGTCTCGGAATGGACGATACAGTGCCACAAGAGTGGAGGATGCTGATGCATCAGATGCCTTCAGGTTTTGCAGCATTCCAGGCGCTGGCGTTCACAGTTCGAGCCGTTGTGGGCAAGGCTCCTATGGCCAGTTTCCCATTGACAGCTGGACCCCCGGCAGTGGAGTCACAAGTGATTTATTCACACAGTGGGAAGAGGAGGCTCGAGCTGAACGATTGCTCTCGGCTGAGTGTGGGAATGGCATAGTTGAATTCGGGGAGTTCTGCGACGAAGGTCCAAAGCCGACTGGTGCTTGCAGAGGTTGCGTCGCTGTTGAACCGGGATGGGAATGCGCCCCTGGAAAATGTCAGCCAAAGTGTGGTGACGGCCTAGTCTTTGCAGGGGTCGAAGAGTGCGATGACGGTGGCCTGCTCATAGGCTGCACTTCAGGTTGTCGATTGGCTGAGTGCCAGCGACTGGACACAGTAGCAAAACCCATGTCTTCCGATGACCTGGAGATGAAGATGATGTGGATGCAAGCACATCAAATGCCTCAACCACCATCCTCAGATTTACTTGATATGCAAGGCTATAGGCTTTGTTTCCAGTTCACCAACGATGGTAGTGGCACTGTTTCCAAAGGTGCTTTTACTGCTTGCAGAGGTGAATCACGTTTGACATTCCTGACCATTTCCGATCTCAATCAAACTCTTGCAAGATACGATGTCGATTTGACCCAAGGCCCTGTTTTTGATGTGCTCCCAGGAACGGCTTGGCTGTCGGGTCCACATCAGCTCCGAGTGCGGTTTCACAACAACTCAGATCATGAGTTGGTGCTCAGCTGTCGAGTTGCTGCTGATGATTGGGACTCGTGTGTACTTTGGTCGGTTCGGGAAGGAATTCCAGAAACCCGACCGGGTTTTTCGGATCAGGCCGAATCAATCAGCTTTTTGATCTACGCTGCACCGCCTGAGATTCGATGGGACTGCTCAAATCGGACTGTTCCAGACTGTGGTGACGGACACCTGACGGGTTCAGAGGACTGCGACGATGGGAACTCTGAAGACTTTGATGGGTGCTCTGCTAATTGTACTCTTGAAGCTGGCTTCATATGTCAATCACCTGGATCGCCTTGCATTGCAACCACATGTGGCGATGGGGTTGCAGGACTGGGCTTGCCACAGAAGTTTTATTAAGTTTGTGTTTCACTCCAGGTCTTTTGATTCAACTAGCAGATTAGCATTGCAAATTGTCACTTCCCAGAAAACAAGAGAGCACTGAGTCCCACCTCACCAATTATTGACTTGCAAGTCACTTCTCAGACAATGTGTTTGTTGAAGCGGGTCGCCCTTCGCGCGAAAGACGGTTTTGCGTCTCATGGGAAAAACACAGTTGTTGGTTGTGGCATATTGTGGCAATGGGTGAAGACTGAGTTGGGACAGACATTAGTTTAAATCACTTTTTGCAAGAGCTTCGTGTTTTTCAATGTCGACCAGGAGACTGGCCAACGCTGTGTGATGCCTTCAGTGAGGGTTGCAAGTCTTGCGTGGTCGAAGCCAGCTACATATGCAAGGCAGATTGCTCGGCCAATGCGTCTGCTGATTCCAACGCGGAGCTGGGTGATTTTCTTTTGAACGGAACTTCGGGCTGTTGCATACAGGGCCCAGAACCATCCAACTTTGATTGTGTGCTGGGTGTCCAATGTTCCCTCAAGATCACACGCATGCCTGCACACAGTTCTCCAGCAGCTTTGATTTCTCCTGATGATGATGTGGCCTGTGGTGATCCATCTAGGGTTGCAGATTGGACTGGCCCACACCTACGCAATCCTGCCAATCCTTTCTATGTACCTGAAACATTGACTGCAGTGCCCAGCACATTGCAATCCTATGAATTTGGTATTCCACTCACAGGGCACCCCGGAGTATTCAGACTTTGTTGGGGTTCCGAATCTGCGGCTGGCATGGCGAGGCTGGAAGGGCAGCAGCCCGCGCAATGCCGTGGAATGTGTGTTTTTTTCATCAACTTGTTTTCACACTTGGAAGGAGGATGCAAACTAAAACCAGGTGAGGCCGGAATGAAGTCGTGGGTCAATCCTCAAGACAAGACCAGCCACACAAACATTGACTTGAATGTCCTTGAACTATATATGTCATCATTTTTATGCTCAGGAGGGATTGACATGCAACCAAGCGTAAGAAGGGTTGTTTTTTGCCAAGAAGTGAAGCTGACCTGGTTCACATTCCACCAAATGTTTGGCCAAGTTGTCGATGGTTTTACATTTTGCCCGTGGTTTTGCGCACATTACATGAATCAACATAAATTTTGTTTGCAGTGTGTTTGCACTTTTGCTGTCCAATTCTTCAACCAGCTACCCCTAGTGCAGCTTCAGTTGGATGGTGGCGTGTCGGATCGCACAAACTATATCAAATTATATGAGTACAACAGATAGATAACTAAAGATGCTAGTTGCCAGGCTGCCAGGCTACTCTGCTTCGTTGCAAGTCTGGTGTTTTCTCAATGGCAACCTGAAAATCAGGTGAAATCCGCACAGCCCTTTGGGGCCGTTTAGGTTGCGCAAGGTCGGCAAAAGCTTTGAAGCACAGGTCAGGGTTTCAGGTGGAAACAACATCAAGAACTGGCTTAAGGATCACAATTCCAAAGCTCAGCCGTTACATTGCTGGAAACTGATGCCCCCATCTTTCTTGCTGGCATTGAGAACTTCGTGGGGAAGGGCTAGCAGATTGAAAATAGCCCCGCAGTGCCTGAATATTTAATTGTCCACTGCAGCAATCTGCAAACCCTATGCAACTTCCTTCAGCAGATACAAGGGTGGGTGCCTTGGACAAAAGCAGGAGGGTCACAGTTCACAAGTCTAGGGAGCAGAATCGGCATTGGGCATGTTCAACAGCAGGTTGCAGTGTTGTAAAAGTAGCGCCGGCTAGTGCACCACGACGAACATCCTTCAGGGCGGCGCAGCGGCGTTTGACCCAACGCTTAAAAACCTACTTTGGCAACTTTGAACAACGATGAGCAAATCCGGGCCATGGAGGCAGCGAGGATGGTACCAGACCGGACGCTGCAACACATGAGATCACACGTGAAGCTGTTGGAGGCTGTGTGGATTTGTGAGCTGCGCTGTGTATATAGGTTACGTCGTGGCAGAAATGCGGTCGCAAGGGGGAGCAGTAACGAGAGAGCTGAATTCAGACAATGCAAAGGGGTTCCAAAGTAGGAACAGCAGCACGACAAGTGGTTCCTCATCGTTTGAACAACACTCAGCAAACAGATCATGTGGGGTCAACCAGCGAAATTTGTAATTTGTCTGAAAGCACTTTTTGGGGTACAAACACCTCCTTGTTCAACATTTCAACCACTTTTAGAGCAGGCCGCGCATCGATGATACATTTTTGAGCATCCGACAAAACTTCCGTACATGTTGGCTTTTGATGCTTGAATGACGTTGGTTGGATGTTGTTGCGACAAAGTTGACCCAGAGAGGCTGCGTGGACATGGAGCTCGATCCCTGGAAGCTCAGCAAGTCACGTTTGCCTTCGAATTGGGCCCAGTGGAGTTGCGCGGCCCACAGCAGCAACAAAGCTTTGATTGCACCCTTGGCGAGGCATGCGCTTTGACGTTGGGGGGTTACAAGCTTGGAGAACAGAGTGCGGTCATAGCCGCTGTTGACAGTTGCGGGCACGGCTTGCGAGTTGCTCCACTCGTCTCCTCGAAGTTGTTGGTGGCGAGTAGTTTCAATGGATCCACCAACTGCCATGTTCGCATACAGACTGGGAGCGAAGAAGAAGAACTGCTGCAGGCCATTGATGGTGTGCGCGCAGTTGTTTTCACAAAGCATGTGATGGCAAATCAAGCTAAAACGTATTCTACGGGAGAGGCTGCTTTGACACCATATGAGCTTGCTGCAATCTTGAGGGCGCAACCTCCAGGCACCTTAGTTGTTGTTGCAGTGGCTGATGATTCGGGGTTCGCATTTCGAGATGAGAAGTTTCTGGAGGCTCTTGAATACCTGGGAGCTCTTGATGCACGCTCCTTCCAAGATGGCAGTTCATATGCTTTGGTGGGACTGGCCGGCGCTTCTGCTTTAGCAGAAGATCTTCGTTTGGATGGTTCAGACATAGACCAAGAAATCCACGTGCCTAGTCCACTGGTTCAGAGTGATGTCAATGACACCGGCTCGGCCGACTTGGGAACGGTTTTGCAAGGTGCTGCAGCGGACTACCGTGTTTGCTGGGATTTTCAAGGTGGAGATTGGGAGGCGCCGTCCAAATATCAAGTGGATATTGGACACCTTCGTGTTTTTGGGCCTGGTCCAGGCAGGCAGCACTGGCATTGCATGGCTGGTGATTCTTGCATACTGCAAGTGAAAGGCATGGGCCTCTCTCTGTCCAATGAGGTCCTAATTGGTGAGATTGGCTCGCTGTCTTGCAATGAATCTGATGCGACCTTGGTCGTCGGTTTGCAGAGCAGAGTAGCTGCAAGTTCTGTGGAGAACGAATCACTTGCTGTACATGATCTTGGTGTCATCACTGGACGAAGCCTGGGTCAATTCTCTGTGTGTTGGCAGGCCTCACCCAATTCGATTGCCACAGTGGTGGGCAGACTGCTGGTGATGGAGGTGCAATGCAATCTGCAATCATCAGACCCGTCGTTGGCGCACAGCTGCTTTGGAATTGGCTTTCGTGAGACTTGCACAGTCCAATGTGCAGTGGGTTATCGTGGTCGTCCTTGGCAGATGACGTGCCGATCCAAGGGTGAACTTGATGGAAGACTGCCGCAGTGTGCCAAAGTTCCATGTAGCTCCGCTTCACTTCACGCAGTAGAAATGGGTGGAAGTCACGAAAGGTAGCGGTTACGCTACCTGAGTTTTCCTTTTGCTTTAGCAAAAATATATTAACCCAGAGCTGCAGCCTATCTCTCGGAGAAATGGTCCCCGACATCTTCGTTTGCTGGCC